AGAATCTGCTGTACTTTCACCTTTTTTAGTTCTATTTTCATGAATTTTCTTTAAGCTTAGCTAAAGGTTTTTTTCTATTTTGTTTATTCTTTGAATAATCAGCTCTTCTTGGCATTGTGCTTTAGTCTCGCTTCCATTAATTTCCATTCCAATATTTATAATTTCCTTCCTTGTACAAGCTTTGGATTTGGATGGTTCTTGCTTTTCTAAGACACTTTCTAGGTGTGCCATTAAGTTACTTAGTTGGGATGCTGTATGTTTTTAATGTAGGAGTTCACTGCAATAGGTTCCCCTCCAAAAACTGTTTTCAGATGTCTCAAAAGTTCTAGTACGCTCCACTGAAATAACCATTTGATTGTAAGAATGCTTTAATTTCTTGGTTTCTTCTGTGACCCATTGATTATTCAAAAGAGCTTCTTTTAATAAATTTTCTGTCATTCCTTTTGCCTTTGATTTCTAGTTTCCATGCACTATGATTGAATTATACACATAGGATAAGTTTAATTCCTTTGTATGTATAATACCTGTTTCATGGACTATGGTCTCTTCTGGAGAAATTTCCATGGTTTGATGAAAATTTCTGTGTATTCTGCTGTTGTACAATGGAATAGTACATCAATATTTAATAAATCCATTTGTTTGAAAATATAGTCCAACTCTGATTTTCCCTACTGATTTTTGTCTAGTTGTGTACTTGTAAAGGTACAGTGTTGAAGTTCCCTACTATTATTTTGTGGAGTTTTTTTTTATCTTTTATGTTCAGTAGTATTTCTTTTATGAAGTTGAGAATAGTGGTGTTTGTTGTACTAACATTTACCATTTTTATCTTTTCCTTTTAAATTTTTCCCATAATCAATATATAATGACATTCTTTTCTGATCAGTTTTGGCTTGAATTCCATTTTGTCTGAAAATCTGATAGCATTCCTGCTTGTTTGCAGGCTCACATTGCCTAGTATGTTTTTACATCATTTGATTTTAAGTCTATGAATTTCTTGATTAAACATGTATCTTATATGCAGCCTAGGATCAAATTGGGTTTTTATCCAGTCTGCCAATATGTATCTTTCAGTTGAGGTCAAATCATTTACATTAATATTTACTGACTTACTACTGTCATTGCATTGTTGTGCAATTGTTCCCTTTATTTTTCCTTTTGTTAAACTGTCCATACTTTCAATAGAATTATCTCCTGGATTTTTATTTGGCAACTTTTTGTGGACTCTAATTCTTTGTTAAATTGTTAATTCATACCTTGAATAATTTTAGTTAGCTCTGCTAATCTTTTATTTGAATATTTTAAGCTTACTGATCAATTTGTTTATCAATTTCATTATGTTTAGTTATACCATCAATTAGCTTACTGAGTTTCTTTGTGTCTTTTTTTTTATTATTTCACATAATTCAGCCATTTAGGGTTTGATTTTCTCCCCACCAGTGTCCCTTTGATCTTCTTGGAAGAAGCTGGATGATTTTGGAGGTATTTTGCAACCTTGTTTTCTTGTGCTTGTGCATGTACAAGTGTGTGTGTGTGTGTGTGTGTGTGTGTGTGTGTGTGTGTGTGGCGTGCACACGCACATGATGAGGATTGAAGGTCAACCAAAGTGGGAAGACTCTGTCACTACTATGAAGACCTCTTTAGCTAGTGTCTGCTTTTCAGTGATACAATTTTTACTTTATCTGTGTCTTGGCCTTATCTACCTCTTTAACTTACTCAGTTTAATGATACCGTGCCTCAAGGAAAAAATTCCTACCAGTTGTAACATCAACAGATTCAACCAAACATTAACCATATACACTAAGACTAGTTTTTGACAGCTTACCCTTTCATCAATGCCTCATATGGACTGTGCCATATTGCAACTGACAGACTAAGATGCAGAGGGAGGAATAAACAAAAAAGGAAGAAGAAAAAGAATGGGCTAAGTCAGTAAGAAAGAGAATAGAGAAATCGCTAAGATGAAAAATATACATAAGGTCCACTCTGTGGGAATTATTTTTATATCTGATTTAAAAGGCTAGTTTGAAAGGGTTTTCAAGAATATTTGTGAGGGTAAGAGGAGGGATGCAGAGGAAGGAAGGTGAAATTAGAGACTGAGGGAAGCTCTTTTGGGGAGGAAGCTTTGAGATTGTGAGAAGTTGTTAATATATAGCTGCATTGCCTCACTACCTGCCTCAGAACCCTGCCAATCAGATGTCTCTCTGAGCCAGCATCTCATGACAAGCAGTTCTATGGTGTGACTAGCTGCATGTCTTGGTCTCCATCCATAGACACAACCACCCCAATTAATCTGGAGATGGGAGGGTGCAATGTAATTGACCCAGCACCCAGATCTCCACTGACTTCCAACTGGGACCTTCTTACTTCCATTCCTTTCCCTGCAGTGCAACTTTCACAGTCTCCTCTGTTTCCTTCCACCAGCCTTTGGCCTAGTGCCCCTCTGGATGCCCTCTAACCTGGACACCACTCTCCAATCCTCCACCTGTCATTCTTTTTCAGTCACTCTCCTCAGCACTGCACTCTAACCCACAAACTTAGCGAAGCCCCAGGCCTCTCTCACTGGCCAGGGATGTTGGGCGCTCTGCTGTGGGTTCCTGTGGACCAGCGTGGATAGTGTGAGTGCATCCTGTAATCACAGCACACCTGGTGTACATGGAAAGAACAGGTGAGTAATTATGTCTGGGTCAATCTGGCTTCTCTTTTCTGCAGGGTCTTGCTTGCTCTTCCCAGGCACTGCTTGGCTCACAGAGCTCACGACCCGATTTTTGTTTTGTTTTTATCATGCTCACATTTAGTTTCCTAACTGGCCCTGCAACTCCCAGACACTGCTCACTCATACAGTTCTAACAGCATTGAGATTCATGCCCCTAATCTTGAAGAGGAAAATAGAGACCTAACTTTTTAGAGCTAAATTTCTGAGCAGCTAGCAGATTTGTCACCCTCTCTTTCACCAGTACCAGGTACATATTTCCCTTATCTAACTTACCAAATCCTGATCTTGTATATTATCTCAAGCACTTGCTACCCGCAACTTAGAGCTTGTCCTCACTCTGAACCTGTATGCATCCCATGAGTTTGCCAGGAGTTTGAGCTTGTCTAAGTATTGCAACATATGTGATGAAATTTTCTTTTAGGCCAACCAATGCCAATGAGCTAAGATGCAATCAGTCGATAACCACCAAATACTCTGCTTCTGTACTTGCAAGCCATATATAAACCCTGGACTACCAGTAATCAGACTGATACTTTGGGAAGAAATCGCTAACAGAGTCTGACAATACAAATAAATCTGCCTCCAAATCCTAGGTGATGTTTTGGTGTTTCTGTTTGCCACTGCAATCTAAGTGGCATACTTGTTTTCAAATTTCAGAGTGTTCACTGGCTTCACTCAGGAATGGCCTGTGGGCTCCACTACCTGCAGCTTTGGAATTAGTTAGATTCATCTATCTTCTCTATCACTTAGCCCAGAAACTGGAGCATATTTAATAAGTAATGTTGGAATGATATAGAAAGGTGAATGTGAAAAGTAGAAGTATCTTTCCCTTCAGTGGTCTTTGCACTACAGACTAGCAATCTCTGGCACACAGGAAATGAGTCACATACAAGAGAACTCCAACTAGAGTTTAAAATTCATATAGAATTTCTGTTACATTCTCTAGTTGGAAAAAAACAGCTGAGAATAAGGGACAGAAATATCTGGGTTAGGATAGAAAATGGGGAAAGGGTAGAAAGAAAAACAAGTAACAAAGAAAACAAGTTTCAAGGAGTGAGAAAGAAAACTTTAGAAAGAATACTAAAGATTTTTAAACCAGGGCCCAATAAATTTAATTTAAACAAGATGACTTTCCTATACATTTTTTTCAAAGAAGCTTTTTTCCTTTCCCCTTTGTTCTGAGTTAGATCTAAATTGTTCCCCTCAAAAGTTGTATGTGTACAGAGCTGGAGATTTTGGAGCTGATTGGATCATAGGAGTATCAGTGTTAGGCAGTTAATGTAAAGTGGTGAGGTCTGGCCAGAAAAGGCAACTCACTGGGAGTGTGAACTGGAAGGGTCTATCTCCCTCTTTTGCTCCTCCTTCCTCCCTCTTTCTCTCTATCTGTCCACCATGAGATAGGCAGCTTCCCTCCCTCCAGGCCTTTCTACCATGTCATTTCTGCCTTGGTGCCAGCTGGCCTTGGACTAAACCATGAGCCAAGACAAACCTCTGTTCCTTTAAGTTGTGGTGTCAGAAATTTGGTCCCAGCGTGGAGAAAGTGACTAAAACAATAGAAACACCTCTTACCGTGTTTCTGCAACTTCTTGTTCCAGTTTCTGAAAGACATAAGAAATTTAGCTTCATCCTCCAGCCAGTAAGAAGTAATTGACACTTGGGAAGGGGAGAATTGGAAGGGCTTGCCAGGACCAGATCTGCATTCTACAGGAAAACACAGCACACTGACTAATATTTAGTCATGGGTCAGGACCGATGTCATCCTCATTTTGTCTGTATGGATAATGCTATGGGCATGAATTCACCACTTAGCTCCTTTTGAACAAACCCCTGAAGATGCAATGCCAGGAAGGTTAGCCACCCAAGAAGAGTCATCATAGCCAGTCCCATCCTTCCCTGAAGAGAATACCACAGGCATCAAGGCTAGAATGCACCAGATATGGATACTGAGAAGTGTCTTTCTTCTTTGGTGTACCACAAGAAAATAGACTCTTTTCTCCTTTAGGATATTCAGGTTGAGAATGCAAATTCATCAGTTCATATAAATGAGTTATGAAGGATAGGGCAACATGCCTCCTCCATCCTGCCCTTATTCCTTATTCCTTTGGCTATATTAGGTGGCTACCTGAAAGGGGCTGGAGGATGTCATATTCCTCTATCAGGATTCCTAAACTCTAATATTTCAAGCACTAAAGAGGCTAAAGCATCATCAACCATGTCCATAAATATTCTTTTGAAATTTCCCACTGTGTTTTATCCCCTGTATGAAAGAATTCACAAAAACACCAAGTCTGAATGAGTATGCTTTATTCATTTTCCCTGTGCCATTAGCTATCTAGTTCCTAGGTAAGGTGTTCTCCATCACTGGGATCCCATAGTTGGAAGAAGAAGCCTAAATCCATAGTGCAAATGTGTCAGCGATAGAATAGAAGCACAGCTGCTTCAGTTATCTCCCGACTGCTACTCCAATGAGCATGAGCTCCATATCCATTCCAGTCAAAGGAAGAAAAATCGCCACACTGCAATGGATTGCCTTCTGGGAAGAATCCTCCTCCACCAATGCAGTGCTAGGAAACAAGAAGTAGAGGAGACAAAAATGAGAGTCCCACTAGTGACCAGGAAGACATATTAATGGCCAAAACTGAGGGAGTATTATTTCTCTTGAAAATTTCCATTGATGATATTAATCGATTACACTTATGAATACATGTTTCAACATCATTTTTTTTCTAAGATTGGAAAGAATTTATTGAGAGAAAGAAAGCTTCTGTCTGAGGACAGAAGGGGCCGCAGGATGTAGTTGCCTTGACATCATTGTCTTCACTTGATTTTCCTTCAACTTTTCGGAACATTCATTCTCAAAGTCCCTAGCTGGAATGTTCATGAATTCCTTAAATACTGTTCCCCAGAAGGGAACACATTTCCTTACACCATGTGCTTGAAAACTGAAAAGCAGTTTGCTACTCTGTCAACCCCATGAACTCTCTGAAATAATGATTTTGAACCCTCTGTTCACTATTCACAATTTACTGATGGTTCCAGATCTCCATCTGTAGTCTAGATGTGTCTTGGGCTGAAGACCTCATACAACAAGTGCCACCTGGATCTCTGCACAGGTGCTGCAAGTTCCATAGGACACAGTAGAAATTAATTCCAACTGTGTGTCATTTAAAGGTGGGGATGCAGTCTCAGAAATGCATGGATAGACATTTTTATCACTGTAACATCATAGAATATAATAACACAAACTTCAATGATTATAGCAATGTGAGGTGATACAATATTTTGGATCGCCTTGAATATTTGGAATCCTTCAGTGACCAAAATATTGTTACATAGCAGCATCTGACTGTATATCCCTTACTGACCCCAAACCTGTTTATATCCAGATGTCCTAGTTTAATAAACACCCTAATGAAAATCCAATTATTCTAGACTTCTCTTCCCATCCTATACATTTAACTGGGTCATAGGCTAAAAATCTTTGGACTTCAACAGTACCCTTCCATCAGTCCCATGGGCGCTTCAGGTCTTCATGTGGACTTGAGGTCTTCATTTGGCCTATTGAAACTACATCAGTACTGGTCTCATTGTCCTTAATATTTCTCCAATAAAATCTACCACCACTGTGCTTGGCATAATGTTATAAAACACAAGATGATTATCAAGTCGATCTACCCTTTAAAATGCTTTATTGACTCCCATCATCTAGCATAAAGTCTAAGTCACTAGTATGATGTAGAAGTCTCTTCCTGATCAGCTGTTATTTCCAGCACCAACCTTTGCCTCTAACCCACGTAATTTCCATGCAGTCAGCTGCAAACAGCGTGCTTCTTCCTCTCTGAAACACTGATGATTGTGAACAGATAACTTCTTTAGCCAGAAGATGGCCTATTGAGGTCTATGAGATGATGTCCAGGACCCTTGAGCAGCCCGTCAACAGAGTTTGCATCTGTAGAGCCTTCACATATCTAGGAAGGCCAAGTTTAATACTAAAGCTAAACTTTGGGCAGAAAATGACAAGGCTTAGTTTCTCAACCACTCCAGTTCTGGGCAACTGAGTGTTTCATCTATGTGTTCAAAGTCTTAACATTGATTTTGGTCCTCAATATTACAATCTGTCTGTAGCTCAACATAAGATCTCAGCACTCTGGTCCCGGAAGATTCAGTAAGGAGCAAGAGAGAATGTCACAGTCTTGCACATATACAGACATGCCACAGTCATACTCTTACACACACACACACACACACACACACACACACACACACACACACATACAGATGAAATCAGCCTTCCTCACAGTCTCCCCCGATATACATAAGGACTCACATGCTCAGTGTTACATCCGGTGACTTTTATTCCAGCACACAAGGCATGAGCTGCTCTTTCATTATTAAATACCCTGAACTGGACAAATCCTGCAGTGAATTCACCTGAAAACAAGAAGCAGAAAATATCTTTCAAGGAAGATGCTAAAGCTAGCATCCTTTGGGGCAGCATAAAGGCATCTGCCTCAGGCTGAGGCCCAACCCAGCACTTTAGCTGTCTGTGCAAGTGAAACTCAGCACCACTGTGGCCAATGGAACCATCTCTGATCAAGAGGGACCTTCCTGAAATCACAGGGACCAAGAGCTGGCACTGAAGGAGGGCTCCTGGTCTGCCAGAGATTTGTACAGAGAAATTCAACACTGCAGAAAGATCACCGCTATACAATATCAGGGCTTGTTAAAGCATCCGGCAAGTACGCTCACTCTGACTCTCTTCACACTTTTCTCTTATTTTTTAATTTTTTTTTCTTTCTAGGGGGAGTGGTACCGGGGGATGAAACTCAGGGCCTCACACATACTAAGCAAGTTGTCTATACCTAAGGCACATCTACAACCCCCTTTGGACTTTTCTAGTTCCCATTTTTTGTTGTTGTTTTTGTCTTTTTGAGACAGGGTCTCCCTATGTGGTTCAGGCTGGCTGTGAGCTCACTTTGAAGCCCAGGCTGGTCTTGAACTTGCAATGATCCTCCTGCCTCAGGCTCCTAAGTGCTGAGATTACAGGAGTGTACCACCACATCCAACTTCTAATTCCTTTTTATTTTAAAGTCTTAAATCTCAAATATGCAAAAAATAACTTTCAGTGTTATAGAAGAGGCTCAGATTCTATGAAAGATACACTGTCAAATTTAGATTTGCATCAAACAAATGAATTGCTACCCTTCATGATAAAAATAAAATTTCCCCATGATTGTTGTTCTGCCCTGTGCACATGAAGCCGGCATACTTACAAAAGCTTAATGACAGGGTGGTAATGGATTTGCTAAGAATAGAGCGTGGAGCCAAATTTTCCCAGTCCAAATACCAACTCGACTGCCTGTGCCTATGCCAGGTCATCAACCCCTCGGTTGTCTGTTTCCTAACCTCCACTGAAGAGTTAATATTAATTCAGGCCTCGAGGGGAGTTATGCAGATTGCATAAGGCAAGAGACTTAATTAACATTCATAGAAGAAAACCAGGCTGCAGTGTGTGATAGATAACTGCTACCTGTGATAACGAAATGGACCATATGTCCTTCAAAGATTTCAGAGGAAAGCACTGAGGACTCACTGCGGCCATTGGGGGAGTAATAAGATGCTGTCTTTTGGGCATCGCCAGAATCATAAACCACGGGTATCGCGGGACCATTGTCCGTCCAACACCTTCCTGCTCCATATTTCACTGGGTATTTCTACAAGAAATGAAGAAGTCAATGAAAGGGGACAAGAGGTTCAGTTCTCACAGGGATGCTGCCATTCAACAAGGGGAAAATAATCTTTTCACAATAACAGATACCGCTTCAAAACCAGTCAAAATAAGAATCTTTTCTTTTGGCTCTGCCTCTCCAAATATCCGGGAAACTCGGCAAATCTCTCTCTCTCTCTCTCCCTCCCCGTCTTCTTCTTCTTCTTCTTCTTCTTCTTCCTCTTCTTCTTCTTCTTCTTCTTCTTCTTCTTCTTCTTCTTCTTCTTCTTCTTCTTCTTCTTCTTCTTTTCTTCTTCTTCTTTTTCTTCTTCTTCTTCTTCTTCTTCTTCTTCTTCTTCTTCTTCTTCTTCTTCTTTCTTCTTCTCTCTCCCCCTCCTCTCTCTATCTCTCTCTCTCTCCTCCCCATCCTCCTCCTCTCTGAAACTCCCTCTCTCACTCTATCTTCCTGCCTCAAATGTTATGTCTTATAAGTCTCTGCCCTTCCTAACTCAAGATTTCTGAGAGAAGCAGGACAGAAGCCATCTGCAAATGAAGGTTTGGGGAACCTGGAAGACAGGTTCTTTGGCACAACCTTAAGCACCTGCTGGTCTCAAGACCCATGAAACTCAACCCAGCCAGCAGCCCTGTGTACCTGGTAAAGTCCAAACAGATTATGTCCCAGGTGCTGGAAGAAGCCAACTGCCGTGCGGTATCTCAGCAGGGAGCTATACCTCCAGGTCTCCATGGGGCTATTGTTGGGTACATGCCAGATGCCCAGGTCCAGAGCTTGGATGTCGTAGTAGCCAGGATTCTAGAAAGCAACCCACACAGCTTTCTGAATAGGCCTGAATAGGCCACAAGACCCCACAAAGCAAAGATACACACAGTGAACTCCCTCCCTCCATTGTGCTGACAGCTCTGGGTTTCAAATGAGAGATGGCCAGCTATACCCCATTCTTAACACTGCCACCCAGATCACTCAAGATTTTGACGAGTGGAAGGTGGATTTCAAGGCATGTGCTTTGCCCAACTACTCTACCCCAGCACCACAGCCACCTTTCAATCCTCCCACCTGCTTGCTTGTGGCCCAGCCGTACCCAGCCCTTGTTCTTCCCACAAGGCTGGCGAGTGGCACCAACCTTGTAGTCATCACTTGTGGCCGCCTCTGCAGTCCCAAAAGTGTTGTAGTTGGCCCAGTTGCCGTCACCCTCAGGGTAGTTGATATTATTGCCCTGCTGACTGGACCAGCGGTCACCCACCGTGCACTTCCCATACAGGTTGTTCTCGTGCACACTGGCCACCAGGGTCCAGCCGCCACCCGCAGTGGTCATGTCACAGAAGGTCTGGTAGATGACGCCATTCTTAGCACGAAGGAAATACAGGCCATCTGTAGAGAACACCAGCCCATCTGAGAGCTCATTATCCATTTCAACCAATACCCAAAACAGCTGAAGGAACCAGAAACATCCTAAAGACTCCTCCCGAGTCCTACCATTGCATGTCCTATGGCTACCAGACTCCCCTTGCATTCAGAAGACCCTGCCCCTGTGAGTGACCTAAAACACAATTATCCAAACTGCCAGAAACATTCCTCATAAAGTAAACATAAATTCATCAGTGACTCACAATTCCTTTACTTGTGTGTGTCTGAAAGAACTGGAAGCCAAAATTTAACTGATATTTGTACATTAATATTCATTGAAGTGTTGGTCACAAGACCCAAAAATTGAAGACAACCCTATGCATTCTTAAACAGATCAATGACGGAAAAAGCATGGAGTGTGTGTGTAATATTATACATACTACATAAATATTGATACATATGTATATATATATGTATGTGTGAGGAAAAAGAATGAATTATCCATGTTAAAACATTGATAAGCCAGGGATTAGCTCAGTGGCATAAGCACCTGCCTGGCAAGGGTGAGGCCATGAGTTTGATCCCCAATACCAAAAAAAAATGTCACAGACTCTAAGATTTAAGGGCTGGGTGTTTAGCTCAGTGGCATAAGTGCTGGCAAATGCAAAATTGTGAGTTCGGTTCCAAAAAAAAAAAAAAAATCCATAAACCTTGAAAGCATTATGCAAAGTCAATTTAGCAAAACACAAAAGGGTCAATACTTTATGATTCTACTTATATAAGGTAACTAGAAAGGCCAACTCTTGGAAAGAGAAAGTAGAACATCAGTTACCCAGGGACAAGGGGAAGACAGACTATAGATTCATTGCTTAATGGTCACAGAGCTGGTGTCTGAGATACCAAAAAGTTTCTAAAGATGCATAGTGATGATGGTTACATAGCATTGTGAATGTAATTTATTGAAATGTACACTGAAAACTTATTGAAACACAAAACTATTCAAAAGATAATATTTTACAATATTTTTTTAAAAGCAACAAACCTCTGGCTGGACTCTATAACCTCACCACTCACCACGGGCATTAGGGCACCTCTGCTTCACTTCATTGCAGCTTCGGGGCAGAGATGGAGACAAAGAGCAGGTCTCTTGCTCGAGATTAGTGCTGGGCAAAACTAGAGAAAATGTAGAGCTTTATTCTTATTGCTGGTTTTACACAAAACCCAGCCTGTCTTTATCACTAATCTCAAACTCATTTCTCCACTGAACCAGAGCCTCGCTGCCTGGGTTGGAAGGCACTGAGATGGCCAGTGTCATCTCCATTCAGCCCACCTGGCCTGGCATCCAGCACAGATAACACATGGCCTCTCCATGGAACCTGATGCTGGTGCTAGGCCCTGCCCTGGGCTCCGGGAAGCCCAAGGAATTAAACATTCTCCCCCCAAACAACCAGAAGCTTACCAATAGAGGGAGCTGTCAACAAGTCAACAAAAAAAGTGTACTGAGAGTAATGAATGAGAGCCTCGGGAGAGCGAATGAAAAACTCTGACATGAGAATGAAGAATGGAGATACCTGAGTGGCAGCATGAAGATTTCCTAGGATAGGATGTTTTAGTCACAGAACTCTAGTGCAGGTGACTCCTAGCTTGTTCTGAGAGAATAAATATGACTTATCAGTAGGAACAAAGAGAAGAGAAGTCAAAGCAGGAGAACATGTCCAAAGGCCTGGTGGACAGAAAACAAATCCAGTGCACTGAAGAAATATTTACAGCTTAATGTGCCTGAAGCTTAGGGTGTAAGAAAAACAGTACTGACTATGGCCAAGGGATAATGGAAGTATGAACAAAGAAACTTGTCTATGCTCCTCAACTCTGCGAACTAATACAAATCAGAGGAATGGAAGCAGTCACAAGCTCAAAGTCAGAGGTGTTTAACTGTAACTAGCTCATACTTACAAATATCCCAGCTCACCACCTCTGAGCCTCAGTATCCTCATGCCTACAATGGAGCTAATAAATATCATTTTTCTGGAGTTCAAATGAAATTATATTTAGAAAAATGTTTTCTAAAATAACAATGAAGAGTGGGCCGGGATTTAGCTCAGTGGCCTATGCAACTGCCTGGCAAGAGTGAGGTCGTGAGTTCGATCCCAGGTATACGCACACACTCACACACACACACACACACACACACAAAACCAATGAAGAGAAATGCAGATTGTGAAATGCCATTGCTCTTGGAGAGAAAAGCATGATGAAAATAACATTCCCTGGGCATAAAGTAAGCCCCGTGGGAGTGAGGAATGGCTTGGAGAATACACAGTTCTTACCAGAGTCCCCTACAGGTGCACACCAAGTCATACAGCATGGAACCAGGTCAGGCCTTAGCAACACCCCCCCTGCTACAAGTCAGATCCCTCAAGAGGACAAAAATCTTCAGTCAGCCTGAAGCCAGTCTGCTTCTATTCATCTCAAAGACATTGTCTCTGCCATAGAAGCGATCAAGATCCTGGTAATAGGGGCTGGGGGTTTAGCTCAGCGGCATAAGCACCTGCCTTGCAAGCAGGTAGTCGTGAGTTCGATCACCGGTACCGATAAAAAAAATGAAAAAGAAAAAAAAAAAAAAAAGATCCTGGTCATAACTTAGCCTACTCGTTTTCTTCCAAAACTATAGGTAAGCTGGAAGGACAAGCTTCTGGTAGGCGACTCACCTGCGCTCCGCCCCCTGGTGGCCACCATGAGAAACAACAGGATACTGATCCTGATCATTACCTACAGAGAAGCAAGATGAAGGTCACTATTTTGACCATTTTCTCTTCTATTTCTACGACCCCACCCTTAACAAGCACTACAAAGACGTAAAATCCCTTTGCCTTTTTTCAAACTCTACACATCTGTAGGAGCTAAAGCAGACATGAAGTTAATGTTCCCCCAAGTTCACAGACGGTAGCCCTCTTTTCTTCTCACCAAGCTAAGAGATGAGAATTTCCAACTGAATGGAGTTTGTGCACTTCTTCTGCAGAGACTCTTAACAAGGGGTGAAGCCCTGAGCCCTTTATGGAGAAATCCCAGACAGGCGCTGCCCAGGAACTCCTGCCTCCTCCTTCCTTGGGGCGGCAAGGCTTCTGATGTTTTCAGGGAAGTTTTTAAATTTATAATAATTAACAGAATTAACAGACTGCACTGTTTCCTGGTTTGTGGATTTTATGGACCTATTGTCCAAAAAATAAACACAAAAAAAACATATGAGCAGACTAATAAAAGTTCATGTTGGTCGCTGGGTATTTTTTTGTTCATTTGCTTGTGTCTGCCTTTTCTGACAGCAAAAACTTTTGGAAAACGTACTGACATGTATACTATCCTCATCACTTCATAGCAAAAGGAAGACTTAACACACTAGATCTTGATTTGTTAACTAGAGGTACTTGTGCCCTGTTGCATATAAAATGTTACCTTTATATACCCCCAACTTTTGGTGGGGTGGGATGTGGGGAACCATCCAGACTGCTTCAAAGTTCAGGCGACATCTGCCTGAGGACATGACTCTAATTATCCAGTGCAGGCCACACAGTGGGATATAGTTTTATGGCCATGACTTAGCAAGGTAAACATGCATGTTGACTATGGCACTACATAAGAATGTAAACATGAGATAACAGCCTGTGTAAGAATTATACAATAGCCGGGAATTTAGCTCTGTGGCATAAGCGCCTGCCTGGAAAGTGTGAAGTCATGAGTTCAATCCCCACTACCAAAAAAAAAAAAAAAAGAATTATACAATAAAAACACAGGCGGCTCTCACTCCTGCACTCTAGCTTTCTTCTCTGCGCAAGTAGAAAAAGGAAAAAAAGAGAGAATACAGATTCAAAAAACGTCTAAATCTTTCATGTCAATAAATTTAATTTCATACAATGACTCACTACTTTGTAACTTTCTCTGCCACAAACTAAACAGTACATTTGGAAATAAATCAGTTCAAACACCCTCTAATGCTTCAAACCCTGATATCATTCCTATTCCTACGTTATTCTGCAGTTCTCAATCCCTCCTCCCACTTTCAGCAGTAATAAAATTGATCAGCCTCCCCCTCGGTGATACCACACATCCAGTATGTCACTGTGGGTTTTTGGTTTTGTGGGGAGACAGGGACTCACTGTGTAGTTCAGGCCAGCCTTGAGCTCATAACAATCCTTGGCCACAATCTCCTGAATGCTAAGATGACAGACACATGCCTCCACATCCGGCTATCACTGGGTTTTAACACTGAAAATCCCACAGTCTTTAAGAAAAGATCACGAGTGCCTTCCTGATTATTGTCTATCTTTGTAGATTTAGTGTCTTGATTTATACAAAATACTCAAATACATGAATAGAATAAAATAAAATGGCAGCCATGAAGAAAAGCTCCAAAAAAACATATACTTTGGCCTCTTCTACTTACTGCTCTCTATGGTGGGGGCAACTATCTCATACCCAGCTTCATGGCTGCTCTAAGATTTTGCATGATGCTCAAGGTCATCTAAAAGAAGACTAAGTAGTTTATGCAACACCTATCAGCTGAGAAGCACAACTACTAGAATCACTGAAATATTGACAATTGGGTAGGGTGAAGATTCAAGGGCCAATTCATGATGCACAACATTAGCTTTGGGAGCAACATGAAAACAATGCACATGCTGCCCAGTGGCTTCCAGAAGTTCTTGGTCCACAATACTGATGAACCGGAAGGGCTGCTGGTATACAACACGTATTACCTTGTGGAGCTGTGCATAATCTTCCTCCAAGAATTGTAATTGTACATACCGCAGCCCAGATGACCATCAGGATCACCAACTCCAAGGTCTGCTACTTAAAAAAAATAGGCAATGGGTTAAATATAACCATAATATCTGAATACATAGAAAGAGAAATATATATTTCTTTTAGTACTTTCTTTCACTGATTTCAAGATACATTTTTCACATTTTGACATCTTCTGTCATACATCACACCCTTAGAGGCACATGAATCACAGAACACTCTACATTTGACTGCACCTAAAAGTCTAGGAATGGTAGATTTATTTGAGGGACATCACCTCTTTTAACCACAAGTTTCCAATCAATGGCTGTGCCCAGTTGATTCTACCTCCTATTTCCTCTTGAATCTGTTCTCCATGCTAGCCCCACCAAATTCTACTGGCTTTCCCACTTATTTAGTTAACAGGTAGGTTAGTTAGCATGCAATCATCTATGAATAATAGAAAACTCATCTCAAAATGGCTTAAACAAAAAGTGAACATCACCTCCTGAAATAAGGCACCCTTAAGAAGGCAGGCTGCAGGCTTGGTTAACTCAGCAGCTGCCAGATGCCATCAAGACCTGAGGCGTTCTTAGTCTCTTCACTGAGTTCCAGGAGGCCACTTGTGGTCTGGGTATTGCCTACAAGGAGAGTAGAGGGCAATATGTCTTCCTATGGCTTCCTTTCCCTTTCAGGAGAAAGCAAGTTTTCCCTGTTTCCTTTTGCATGTTTCTCATTGGTCAGAGATGGATCAATTGTATTAATAGAGCTTCTATAAGAAATACCACAGACCAGGTGGTCTAAACAATGCAAATTTATTTTCTCACACTTCTGGAGGGTAAAAGTCCAAGAAGAAAATGGCTAGTTTTGGTTCCTACTGAGGTCTGGTGCCTTCCAAGTTCTTTCTCTATGGCTTACAGGTTGCCACTCTCTCTCTGAGTCCTTTTGTGGCATTTTCGCTGTGTATGCACCCCTAGTGTCTCTCTTTCAGTCTAAATTTCCTCTTCCTGTAAGTATACCAATCAGGACACTGCCACTGGGGGACAGGCAGCCAGACCCAAGCTTTTCCTCATGAGTCAGCACCCTTCACGGGGTGGGGGTGGAGGGGCAGAACAAGAACTCACCAAGAAACAAGCCCTCCCCATGAACCAGCACCATGTGCAACCACTGCTGGCAGGGGAACAGCCAGACCTCAACCCCTACCAGCACACAGGCTGGCAAACAAGAGCCAATCCCCACCCCCACCCCATCTCCCAGTAAGCAACTGGCCAATCCAGATAAACACAGACCGCAAAGTAACTATTGAGAATGAAATACAATTAGATGCTTGTGGTGTTTCCGTGTTTCACTGACCTTGCAGGTCTAGGACCAGTGGTTGATCATCTATTTGGAGGATAGCAGTATGCAGTATGGCATCTGGGGAGGTGGTGGTCATTGTTGATTCCCTGTTACCTTGTTTTGAAGCCCTATATCTTTTATTTTTTTCATTGTTTTGTTGGGTTGGGTTTTATTTTGTTGTTGTTGTTGTTGTTTGATTTTGCTGTACCCAATGGCATGAGCAGCTACTTCAGGAATGGCAAAATATATTATGATAGCCATTTTGGATTTACTGTTGTCCTGTTTTGAAGTCCTTTGTTGCATTCACTGTTTTGTCTTTATTGGTCCTGTTCTGTTCTGTTTGATGTTTACTATGTCTGAGAGTGCCTGCAGCTATTTTGAAGATGGCAGGAGGCATTATGGTGACTCCTGTAGATTTCGTGTTGTTTTGAGGTCCTGTACCATTTGCACTGGTTTGTTTTGATTGATTTTATTCTGTTTGAATTTCCTTGGTTTTATCACCTTTAAAATCAAAACAAGTACACCAATCAGGTTAAATTAAGAACCATCCTAGTAGCTGGGGATTTAGCTCAGCGGCATAAGTGCCTGCCTTGCAAGCATGCGGTCGTGAGTTCAATCCCCAGTACCCATAAAAAAAAAAAAAAAAAAAAAAAAAACCATCCTAATTACTGGCAGGGTTTTCAATGCAATGAAAGGGAGAACATAAAGTAAAAAATAGCCTTTATTCTAAGGACATGGAGAGAACTCCATGACTGCTGGGGCCTGGCTTTTTCTGCTAGAAACATGGCGCATGGGACATACATATAATTTCCAACTGGAGTGATGCTTAGGACAGCATTGCCAATGCAGGAGCAGCCAATTGGAATTTTCTTTGCGTGCAAACAGGAGCTGGGGAATAAGCAGGAAATGGTAGGCATTCCAGCTTTGGCCTTCCACCTCATTAGACCACTGCCATAATTTCTGTTGAGGCAAGAATCTTTCAATTACCTTACTTTAAATTAGTCATGCCTTAAAGATTCTGTCTTCACAACACTCACATTCTGATGTACTAAAGATTAGCTATGAAACCGAGGGAAACATAGCCCAAACACATGCCCATTTGTGAATACTCTGTGGTCAGAGTGATGGAAGTGTCCAATGTCAATCTCAAACTAATCCTCTATGTATGGGGTTAATCTTGATGAGCTATAAAAACGGCCTTCCTCTGGCCTCCATTTTGAACATTCCTAACCCTCTTCTGTCTAGAGTACTGACCCAGTACAAGGCCGCTCCACACTGCTATCGACAAGGATCCTCATGAGACACAAACCACATCCTGCATCAGCTGAAGCACCACATTCAAACTCTATGCTGTAGAGGTTGTGTCAGGTACCTGCTGCTGCTTAACAAATCACTTCATATCTTAGTGACTGAAAAAAATAAATGAGACTGCAAGTTGAGCTAATGGGACTGCAATTTGAGTATGGGTGGCTTGCACGGAGGAATCACTGGGATACTTTAATGCTTCTTTCATCTTCATTCATTTATAAAGAGACTGTTGGGATAGGATTTTAGGGTTGGATACTCACACATCTGGAATCAGCACTGAGTCCATTGCTGGTGGTCAGTGGGATCCTCTAAATGCCTAACACCAGCTCACTCCTGTCTTTCTCTTGTATCCTTTGGACCTTATGCATACTGCAGGTCAACTTCATTGGTCACTGAACATCCACAGGCAACAGAAGACAGGAAGCAAAGGCACTAAGAGGGTAACAATAGAACCAACAAGAAACATTGGTGCATTGGCGAGAATGAGAAGCTGAAACAGTGTGAGAGAAGTCAGAAGGTATTAATTGCAGCCAACTGATCTTTCTATTTACACTGCAGCCTAAATTGGGATGGGATAGGAGGCAGAGTTTGAGCCTAGGTTGTTCGTCATGAAAAGTTGAAGCAGTTGGGAAGAGAGAA